TGAAGGGGAGAGGAAAGGAGGGCTTGGCAGTGCCAGTATCAAAGAAGGAAGAATGTATGACAAACTAGTGTATACCCCTCTCAGATAGCAGTCATCTCTTGCTACTGTTCTACTGCAGTGCTGAAGGTTCAGAGTGCCAGCTCTGATAATGATGCATAATGGGGTTAGGGAAGGGTTGTTAAATAAAAATGGAATTTGTTTTTTGCATTTTTCCTTTAAAGAGAAGCTACTTACTTTCCTTTTCCTTGAAAGTTAAGAAAGTTGTGTGTCTGCATTAGGATATGGTTTTTAATTATACAAGCACATACAATTTTTGCACAGAATTGCTACTTCATTTAGTGCATAAGTGAGACACAGAACGGGACATAATTAAGATTGCATGGGCAAGCATAAATCTGGCATTTCCTAATTCTTGAACATTTGACCTTGCAACCTAAATACTTAATATATTTTGCATGCAATCTAAAAGTTCACTGCTGTTCCTTCCACTGTTTTCTCTTGCCGAGATCTAACCTCTAAGGGACTGATGGGAATGCCAACTCTAGACTATACTAACGTACACTAGTGGAATAGTTTAAGATTAATACCAGTGGTAACACTTTAAAAAAACTTTAATTGCTTACTGAGCCCTTTTTCGTCTCTGTTCCTTCTGTTACAGCTGATGGAGACCAGCCAGTCTTGTCTGTTTCTGCTCATAGTTGAGTTGTTTGCTGCATAGTTGAACTGTTTTCTACGTTATTTACATTTACTAAGTGTAGTTTTATTTTAGATTACAGTAACTCCTCACTTAAAGTCATCCCAGTTAACGTTGTTTCATTGTTACGTTGCTGATCAATTAGGGAACATGCTCGTTTAAAGTTGTGCAATGCTCCCTTGCAGGAAGAGCAGTCCATTGCAGTTAGCTGGTGGGGTCTTGTAACCAGGGTGGACCGGCAGCCCACCTATCAGCTCCCCGCTCCCCTAAATTCCCTGTGCAGCAGTCGCCCAGCAGGCTATCAATTGCTGGGCAGTTCAGCTGTCCCTCCCCTCACTGTCATGTGCTGCTCCTGCCCTCTGCCTTGGAGCTGCTCCCGGGAGCCTCCTGCTTACTGTGCATGGGGGGGTGGGGGAAGAGGGAGGCTAATGTCAGGGGTCCCCTTCCCCCCTGCTCCTGCACCCTGCTTACCCCTTCTCCATAGAGAGCAGGGTGGGGACACGGAGGGAGAGAGACAGAGAGAGCTTGGGGCAGCAGCTGCTGTCTCAACTTCCTGATCCACTTAAAAAGACAATGCACTTAAGAGTGGGTCAGCTTACTTAAAGGGGCAGTGTGCATCTTTCTCTCTCTCCCACACATAAGGTGTGTGTCTGTCTCTGTCTGCTATGCTGTCTCCCCTCCCTCTCTATTTGTGCTGCCTTGCTGAGTGTGAGGGGCTACATTAACAACGTGTTAACCCTTGCGGGCTCAGCCGAGTGCTAGTTCATCATTTAGCAGCAAGTCATTCCCTGGGAAATACCCCACCCTCTTCCACCCTCTGACTACACCACCTCAATCAAGCTTCACAATCATCATAGCTGTGAACAGAATTAAATTGTTTGTTTAAAACGTATACTGTGTGTATATATATATATAATATATAGTTTTTTGTCTGGTGAAAAAAATTTCCCTGGAACCTAACCCCCCCATTTACATTAATTCTTATGGGGAAATTGGATTCGCTTAACATTGTTTCACTTAAAGTTGCATTTTTCAGGAACATAACTACAAAGTTAAGTGAGGAGTTACTGTATATGCCTTGTATCAGAGGGGTAGCCGTGTTAGTCTGGATCTGTAAAAAGCAACAGAGGGTCCTGTGACACCTTCAAGACTAACAGATGTATTGGAGCATAAGCTTTCATGGGTGAATGCCCACTTCGTCAGACGCATTCACCCACAAAAGCTTATGCTCCAATACATCTGTTAGTCTTAAAAGTGCCACAGGACCCTCTGTTGCTGTATATGCCTTGTTTCCAGCCTGTAATATAGGGTGTGTCCAACAGAGCCAAGGGCAGCAAAGAGTAATGCTGCTCTTAGGCCTGTCCTAAGAAAGAGGGAAGAAGAGGTGCAGAAATAGCAGGATGCAAAATAGCATTCGTAAGCCTCTTTTCAAATTCTCTGTGCTGTGAATGGATACACTCTTGTTAGCCCTAACTTTCAGCCTCCCTGTGCACACCCATAGATCTGAAAACAGTAACCAGCACAATTTGGGAGGGGTGCAGAAAATGCTGTGCCCGCTACTGCCACGGCACACATGCAATGAGGTCTTTGAAAATTTGGCCCTAAGCATGTGCTTCAGAAAAGCCACCATTATAACCAACACCCTCTGTCATTCAGCAGTAAGGCCAAATATTTGATGGACATGAAGAATGAACCACCTTCTCATCCCTAAATGGTCTTCTCCACCTTCAGAAACACATTGATAGGACCAGGGGAAGCATGTGTGTGTTGGGGGCGGGGGGGGGGGGGGGGGGGGGGGGGGGGGGAAGAGATGGAGATTATACTTCTGCCTGTAGTATGTATGGTCTGTAAACTGGCGAAGGACTTTGACCTCCACTGGCAACAATCTACCTTTTACCAGCATTAAATTCTCTTCCAAATTAAAATATACATAATATATACATAATAGTTATTTAATCTTCGAGCTGACAAACACAAGCCTATTGGCCAAGGCATGTTCACTTCCTCCTCTTTGGCCTCCCTGTTTCCCATATCACGCACCTCAAGTCAGTCCAGAATACAGCTGCTATCATTCTCTCCCTCACCCACTGAGCTAACCATGTCAATTCCTTCTTTGAATCCCTGCATCGACTACCTCTTAACTGCTCTTTTAAATTATTCTTGTCTCCAAGGCCCTGCACAGCTCAGATCTTGTTCCGTTGCATCTCCCATCAGTCCCCCCCCAATTCACTCTACCAGTGTCAGTATCGCTACCCCTTTCATTGCCTAGTGTTTTTCTGTGCTGCATCTCACTCCTCACACCCTCCCAGTCCCAGTGGGGCAGGCTCCCACCTCTGCCCATTCAAATTCTCCCAAGGATTCGCTCCTTCCATGAGACCAACACTAATCTGCATAAGCTCAATGCTTCTTCACTCCAGCATTATGTCAGAGGAGAGAGAGAGAGAAGGTTTTTTATTTTTTAATTCTAAGTTTATAGGACCCTTCCTAGGGGTCTCCTGTGTATCTGGTCTTATCTCTGTCTGTCTTTTAGACTGTAAGTTCTTTGAGGTGGGGACTTCCCTTATTTGCATTCTGTGCCTAGGTAAGCATGTCAAGTGCTTAACAGATAACAAAAGAAGTTAATAAACCATAAAATAGGTTTACATTATTGCTTTGCTATGAATAGTTTTCTGAACTAGTGCAGTTCTGTCCCATTTCTTTCAGTCCAGTCTGCAGTTGGCTGTACCAAGACACACTATGTCTGTGCTGTATAATGTCACACATGTGAGGCTAAAATATTATCTTTATGTGTAGATGAATAAAAGACTGGATACATTTTAGGCTTAAATTATCACCAGTAATCACATAAGAAAGTAAAATTCTAGGTTCTTGCCCAGGCAATTTCATTTCACTCTTGTCCATGTGTTTATTTAGTGTCCCGTCTGTCCTAGTTTATTTTTTTTAATCCATTTATTTTAAGGATATTGATCTTAAATGAAGGACATTCAAGATTATAATGTTGGTTGCAATAATTGTTCCAAATAAAATGTATGTTTTTAACTACTATTTGGTTCTTGGTAAACTTAAAAAAATAGCTACAATAATACTAAGATTTCATTTTTTCACTACTTTTCTCAGTTAATTAACTTAGGCTCCAACTCTACAAACACTTACACATGTGCTTAACTTTACTAGATTAGTAGTCCCCACAGAGCCTTAAAGAGTACCCTTGTTACAGTCAGATCTTAAATGCTACCTTATTTCGATGAGTCAATATTTACCACAGGTAAACAAAATGACGTTTTTAATTTACTTTAGAATTTTAAAGAATACTTTTTTTGAAAGCAGTACTAGTATTTTACAAATATTGACAAAGCTGTATTTAATTGTACAGATGATGATACTGAGTTTATTTGTGTTCCGTATAAACAAAACTGGTGTGGTGTGCCACATTATGCAAAACCCTGCATTACAAACATGGTGTAATTATTCATTTCTCTGAGATAATTAGTAGGTTTTTAAAACATTCCTGATAATGTAAATTAATTCAGGCTTCTTGTGCATGTCCAGGTACTAGTGCAGTCCATCTGTGTGTACAGTAAATAGTATGTAGGATTATTCTCAGGACTATGCAGGGCACAGACTCATTTTCTGTTGAGGACGGTAAGGTTGATCAGTTCCCCAGGCCCCACATAACTGAACATGACAGTTACAAATTACCTGAAATTTGAGAGCTGAACTTAAATACACATTCCTCCTTCACTATAGGAAATCATTTCCCCTTTGCCAATACAGTAACTGAGTTTTGGAAGGATGGGGAAGATTTTCCCCATCCCCCAGCTGCGATCAAACATGTAAAAGTTTCTTGTGAAAAAAGAACCGCTGTCCCTGAAACGAAGGAACTGTCAGGACCGCTCCTGAGGAAAAGGAGGAATCACAAAGTTACAGTTTCGCTGCTACTAATAAAGAAGCCCAAGGAACTGGACTAGCGGTTAAACAAACACTCCCCACCCGAGCTGGATGTTTACAGCCGCTTGAGCAGTGGCTCTGTGCTCTGTATTGCCCGGACGGGGCTTCACACTTGGCCCAGGCAGGGGGGTGGGGTGATCTTCGCTCTTGACATCCCACAGTAACCTCCCTCCCCCGGCCCGCCGCCGACCGCCGCTGCCAGCCCAAGACACGCGCCAGGGGGCAGACGCAGCCCGGGCTGCAGGGGCTCTGAGCGCCATGGCCCTGCCCGAGTCTCTGGGCAGCAGACTCCTGCCCCCGGGCTGCGAGGGAAGTTTTCCAAGCACGGGGCGAAGGGGGGGGGGGTGCGAGCTCTGGGCTGGGGAAGCCTCTTCCCTCCTCCCCTCGCCTGGAAGAACAACCGGGATATTCACGCGGAGCGGCGCGATGCCAGGGAAACTCCTCCAGGGGGACCGCGCGGAGAGGCTGCCGAGCCTGCAACCTGCCTTTAAAAGCCCCCCACACAAGAGCCGCCGCTCCGCACAGGCGAGCCGGGGCGCCCGCGATGAGGCCAGCCGCGTGCTCCTGGGGCCTGGGGCTCCTGCTGGCCGCCGCTCAGCTCTCCCGCCAGCAGCCGCCGCAACAGAGGTAACGGCTCGTCGGGCCAGTGCCGCCGGGCTCGTGGGGGCGCCCCCTCCAGCCGCTGCTTTGCCACTTGGGCCACGCCGAGCTCTGCCCCCTGCCGCTGCCTCCCGACCCCTCAGACTCCTGCCTGCCCTTACAGCCGCCTCGTCGGGGCGCCTGCGGCTCCCGCTCTCGCACCTCCGGGTCCGAGCCTTGCAGGCGCTCCAGGCACCTAGGCAAGAGCACCAGGGGGCGCCGAGGCACCGCCCCGCGCTTTTGCCCCTGTTGGCGCCTCCCCAGCCAGCCTCTCTGCTGCTCCCGGTCCGGCTGCGGCGGCCGCGCTGGGGCAAGGAGCGGCAGCCGCCTCGCGTGTCGGCGGCGGGCTGGGGGAGGGAGGTTACTGTGGGGTGTCTTGTGCCGCGGTAGGGGTGGGTGAGCTGCAGCCCCTTCTTTGCCTAGAAGGGGAAGGAACATCTTGTTCTCCACAGAACGGCGCCAACGGTGGGTGGGGGCGGCTGGGCTCGCTGGCTATATCCAGGGCGACTCTGAGGCAGGAGCCCCTGGCCCCCACTCCTGGCTGGGGGAAAGATGGGATCCGAGGCTCTTTGGCATGTGTTACATCGGGAGGGGGTGAGCCTGTGCCAGAGGGAAGAGTCAAAAGGGCAAGAATCCAGGGCACTAACCTTAACGAATTCCCATCTAAATCAACCCATTCTGCTATTAACAAGCGAGAGTAAAACGTCTGGAATTCACACGAATGACTGAAAGGCCCATTGCAACAATTGAACGTTGCAAATTAACAAGTGACTGGACAAGAACAGGAAAAAGCAGGGATACTGCATCACAAGATTTTTTTTTTTCATTTATACCCCTCCTGGCACCAGGATCTGTGCAGGCAGTTCTGACTGCAGGATCAAAGCCTTGAGTAGAATCTAATTACAGTGGTCAAGTTAACTAACACTTTACCTATACCAGTAAATATTGTGCAGTATATATAATAAAATCTTGATGAGACATCACCCCAGCAGCTTGCTGTTAAATGCTTGCTGAGGCGTGGGGCATTAAGATCAGCATTATTTGTGCAAATTACAAAGTGTGAAGAGTAGTCAGGGTCTCCTCTGTTCTACTTTCCTTTAATGAAAGAGAAACAAGGAGCACAGAAACACTACCCTTTTCTTTTAACACATGCTAGCATTTCTTGGCATGTACAAAAAAAGCCCAACCACCTCAGTTTCTTGTATTTAATTTGAAGGGGAAAAAAAGATTCTGGTTATACTTTCAAAGGGATTGTTTTTTTATTTTTATTTTGGGGGATATTGAAATTAAAAACAAACATCCTGTTATATAATTTCTTGGATGAATAAACTTGCCAGCACTGGATTCATGGGAAGAAAAACAACGCCCACCACCTTGGCTGTTTGCCACATTCTTGTCTTTTAATACTGATTTTGCATTGCTACATATCACCTTTTCAGTGATCTCAAAGAGTTTTTTACAACCATGGCAAAGTACTTGAGCATGAAGGATGAGCTTACATTAAGCATGCTTTGGTGAACCAGGGCCTAATTACCCATCAACCCCATTAGGCAAAATTAGGATCTATAATTCCCACCAGTGCAGCTCCAAATGGATGCTGTGATGCAAACAGGAGTTGCATTGATGGATAATTATGGGTCCTGGTATTCTCAGTATAGAAAAAAAATCTATGAGATGGCTTGCTTTAGAATTCTGTGATAAATTGTCATTTTAATAGAGTAAGAATAATGGGGTGGGGCGGGGGAACCTAACTTTACATTCTCTAATGACTTATCTGCTGGAAAAGTGTGCTTTTTATAGAAATATAAATTTGTTATGGTATTTCCCCCTCCTATTTTGTTTACTATGAACAGGGCGAAGCTTGAACAAACTGTGCAACTATAACAGCATGCAGCACTATATCTAAAAATTTTAAGGGCTGAGCTGTCCATTCTAGCCACACCTCAGTTTGTGCATTAAAAGTTGTACCATACTACAATTTAAATATCTGCTAATGTTATTCAATCATTTATTTAAAGTTGCTGTACATTTTTGTATTAACATTTTAGCTGACATCCCCATTACACAGGTTAATAGTCTTTCCATCTTCAGTATTATAGAAAGTGTTGATGGAATATATTTCTAAACTAAGCAGTATTTTTTTTATTCCCAGGCCTGCTTTTACATGTGGAGGAATTCTGTCTGGAGAGTCAGGGTTTATTGGGAGTGAAGGATTCCCTGGAGTTTACCCTCCAAACAGCAAATGTACTTGGAAAATCACAGTAAGACTTTCTAATATCACAAAAACACTTCTGAAAAGAATGAAGAGCTACCTATTTTATAATCCCAACATTTTATATTAGGTGACAGATGCCTCTGATAATGAGTTGTTGGGCTTACATATTTCAGCTGTCTGGAACATTTTTTAGGGTTACATTAGGTACAGTGCCAAAAGTGAAATCCTAGCAAGCTGCATGGAAACTTTTTAAAGACACCATAATAGAGGCTCAACTTAAATATATACCCCAAATTAAAAAACATAGTAAGAGATATGTACGTTATAGGATTCTTGACACTGAAATGAGTTTGCAGAGCAGCCACATTATATCCATGAATGATGCTAATAAGTGAGCAAACACTATTAAACTGAATGGCCAGAACTGAATATCCCTTCAGTGCTGGACATGTTATAAACCAAGGACTTCATAAAGAGGCTTTAACTAAGCTCCTTTTACTTTTCCACAGGTATGATGATGACAAATTATGCTACCAAAGAGATACTTAAAGCCACACACTGCCCTCTGGCTACATGCACAACTCCCATTAACATCAGTGGAGAGTTTCTCTGGGGTCAGGACTAGTATATGGTCTCCGGTCAAGGAGGGAAATGAGTGCTCTGAAAATTCTCTTTTAAAGTTGCCACTAAAGAATATATAAAAGAGAATGGATAGTGGTAGTGAAATAGGACATCACAGAATAATACAGCCTTGCTGCTCTAGAGACACTGATGCAAGAAGGAGACCATGATCTTGTGACAGTTGTTTTTAAATTACTGTCAGAGCAAACAAATGATGTAGATTTAATCTTTTTATTATGCTGCATTTGGATTAGGGTGGAGAACAGCTTTTTGTGCTGACTTTAATCAGTGCCCAACTTCTTCTAGAAAAGAACAATCTGAAGTATGCTCCATTTTTATTTATAAACTTGTTTCTCGCTGTCTGAAGAGACTCAATTGCTTTTTTAACATTTACTAGTGATTACTGGTTAGCTATCCTGAAATCTGATTGGCTGGCAAAAACTCCATTTGAAGTAATATAAGACTGTGAGACAAGAGTAGCAACAACAAAGCTGATTTTCAATAGCAGTTGGTACCATGAAATAATTTTGAAATCAGTTCTTCATAAATTTGAAACATCATATTGAAGAAGATGATATTATTGAAAAATGACAAAAGTAAAGTTCTTATAAAAGACTTAGATTACAAATGATTGCTAGGAAGTACACACTGAAGAGTCCTGTGGGCAGTTCTATTCCTTATAACTAAGTCAGAAAAAAAACCCAGAACTGATTTTATTTAAGGAGTGTCCCTATTCAAGTTTTCATTGCAGAGTTCATTTGAGCAATCAGCAACTGCTTCTGAGCATCCTGATTAGTTTAGCCTGGATGTGAGCAACCACATTGAATCATAGAATATCAGGGTTGGAAGGGACCTCAGGAGGTCATCTAGTCCAACACCCTGCTCAAAGCAGAACCAATCCCCAATTAAATCATCCCAGCCAGGGCCTTGTCAAGCCAGGCCTTAAAAACCTCTAAGGAAGGAGATTCCACCACCTCCCTAGGTAACCCATTCCAGTGCTTCACCACCCTCCTAGTGAAAAAGTTTTTCCTAATATCCAACCTAAACCTCCCCAACTGCAACTTGAGACCATTACTCCTTGTTCTGTCATCTGCTACCACTGAGAACAGTCTAGATCCATCCTCTTTGGAACCCCCTTTCAGGTTGTTGAAAGCAGCTATCAAATCCCCACTCATTCTTCTCTTCTGCAGACTAAATAATCCAAGTTACCTCAGCCTCTCCTCATAAGTCATGTGCTCCAGCCCCCTAATAATTTTTGTTGCCCTCCGCTGGACTCTTTCCAGTTTTTCCACATCCTTCTTGTAGTGTGGGGCCCAAAACTGGACACAGTACTCCAGATGAGGCCTCACCAATGCCAAATAGAGGGGAACGATCACGTCCCTCAATCTGCTGGCAATGCTCCTACTTATACAGCCCAAAATGCCGTTAGTCTTCTTGGCAACAAGAGCATACTGTTGATTCATATCCAGCATCTTGTCCATTGTAACCCCTAGGTCCTTTACTGCAGAACTGGTGCCTAGCCACTTGGTCCCTAGTCTGTAGCAGTGCATGGGATTCTTCCGTCCTAAGTGCAGGACTTTGCACTTGTCTTTGCTGAACCTCATCAGATTTCTTTTGGCCCAATCCTATAATTTATCTAGGTTCCTCTGTATCCTATCCCTACCCTCCAGCGTATCTACCACTCCTCCCAGTTCAGTGTCATCTGCAAACTTGCTGAAGGTGCAGTCCACGCCATCCTCCAGATCATTAATGAAGATATTGAACAAAACCGGCCCCAGGAGCCCCACTCCACTTGATACCGGCTGCCAACTAGACATGGAGCCATTGATCAGTACCCGTTGAACCCGGTGATCTAGCCAGTTTTCTATCCACCTTATAGTCCATTCATCCAGCCCATACTTCTTTAACTTGCTGGCAAGAATACTGTGGGAGACCGTATCAAAAACTTTGCTAATGTCAAGGAATAACACATCCACTGCTTTCCTCTCATCCACAGAGCCAGTTATCTCATCATATAAAGCAATTAGGTTAGTCAGGCATGACTTGCCCTTGGTGAATCCATGCTGACTGTTCCTGATCATTTTCCTCTCCTCAAAGTGCTTCAAAATTGATTCCTTGAGGACCTGCTCCATGATTTTTCCAGGGACTGAGGTGAGGCCGACTGGCCTGTAGTTCCCCAGATCCTCCTCCTTCCCTTTTTTAAAGATGGGCACTACATTAGCCTTTATCCAGTCATCCGGGACCTCCCCCACTTGCCATGAGTTTTCAAAGATAATGGCCAATGGCTCTGCAATCACATCAACCAACTCCTTTAGCACCCTCAAATGCAGTGCATCCAGCCCCATGGACTTGTTCTCGTCCAGCTTTTCTAAATAGTCCTGAACCACTTCTTTCTCCACAGAGGGCTGGCGGAGTTGACGGGTGTAGACCTAGCCTAAGGTGCCACAAGTACTCCTGTACTTTTCCCCCCACATGTGTGTTGCTAGAACTTTTGGGGACACATCCAATGGGTCTTTGTGCTGCAATAAGCTGAGACACTGATTCTTTCACAGTGAATTGGGCTTGCAGCAGGGAATTGTAGGAAGGCATTGGAGGACTATCCACACTTCAGTGATTTAGCCTGCATCCTCACTGGAAAGTGGGCGGGTTACCAGCCCAAGTGAAAGTGGCACTCAAGTCCAGTCAGGCCAGCTAGCCCAGGTTTAAATACCACCAAACTCTGGTAAGAAAGTTGTATGTGTGGCTGGGAGGGAGGTGGAGGTAATACCCAACTAAGAGCCCAAGGTGTAGCAAAGACATCTCCTTAGTTACCATGTAAAGGCCTCCTCAACTGGTATCTGATACTAGAGCACCTTTTGCCAGTCCATGGTAGCAATGTGGACCTTGCAGGAGAATCTGACTCAAGTCTGCAAAACTGGAACAGCTATTGTTTTGCTTTCCGTGTGGGTTATCAGAGGCATGGAAGTGTTGTTTTCTCAACCAGAGAATGCCATCCTCTTTACGAGAAATCCAAAGTTAATTGAGGTAGGGCAAGCAATTTGGAAGTAAAATTCCTTTATAAAACATTAAATAGGTAATATAATATAAAGTGAGACAATGTGACCTAGCAGATAGAGCAGTTGATTGTAATTCAGGAGACCTGAGTTTTATTCCTGGCTATGGCACTGGTATGCTGGGTGACCTTGGGCAAGTTACTTCACCCCTGTGCCTCAGTTTTCACATCTGTAAATTGGGGATAATGATACTCACCTTCTTTTGTAAAGCTCTTTGAGAGCTACTGATGAAGAGTGCTACATAAGAGATATGCATCCGACGAAGTGGGCATTCACCCACGAAAGCTTATGCTCCAATACATCTGTTAGTCTTAAAGGTGCCACAGGACTCTCTGTTACTTTTTACAGATCCAGACTAACACGGCTACCCCTCTGATACTTGACATAAGAGATAAGTATTTTATTATTATTGTATCTGCTGAAGTCTTCCAGAGTTACTTTGCTAAAGCTAGAAGAGACACAACCCCAATTAAGTTTCTGTTATTTAAAGGTGCTGGTTAACAGAAACAACTGCTCTATTCTGAGAGCTATAAGAAGTGTGCAGCACGTGCTAGCGCTTGTATTCCAGCTTTGGGAGACTACTCAGAAGCCTTTGGTTGCTACTGCTGCTGCTAAGAAATCATCTTTACTCTTGTTTCCTCTCCTGTAGTAACTTGCATAGTGTCACTCACTCTATCACATACATTTGCTTTTAATATTGTATAATCCTTTCTTGGCCATCACCCCACTAACTAAGCCAGCATTTCCTAACATTTGAGAGCTTCACTTTGCAAACGTCTATAAATAAAAGAAAGAAAGATTCAATCATGTGGAAGCATATTGACCCTGTTCATGGGTCATTAACAGCTCATGACTAGGGTTGCCAACTTTCTAATCGCACAAAACCAAACATCCCTGCCCCGCCCCTTTCCTGAGGCCCCGCCCCCGCTCGCTCCATCCCCCCCTCTCTCCATTGCTCGCTCTCCCCCACCCTCACTCACTTTCACCGGGCTGGAGCAGGGGGTTGGAGTGTGGGCTCTGGCTGGGGGTGCAGGCTCTGGGTTAGGGCCGGGGATGAGGGGTTTAGGGTGCGGGATAGGGCTCTGGGCTGGGGCAGGGTGTTGGGGTGCAGGGAGGGGTATGGGCTCTGGGCTGGGGGTGCGGGTTCCAGGTGGGGCCAGAAATGAGGGGTTTGGGGTGCAGGAGGGGGCTCCGGACCTGGGCCAAGGGGTTTGGAGTGTGGGAGGGGATGCGGACTCCAGCTGGGGGTGCAGGCTCTGGGGTGGGGCCAGGGATGAGGGGCTTGGGGTACAGGAGGGGGCTCAGGGCTGGGGCAGGGTGTTGGGGGTGGAGGGTGGGCTCCGGGAGGGAGTTTGGGTGCGGGAGGGACTCC